ACCATGGCAACCGAACGGTAGATGAAGACGTAACAGAGACCGGTGATGATGGTGGTGGTCAGGGCTATACACAGGAGAAAGATGAAAATGATTTGGTCGTCGACGGTGATGACGATGGTCGAAGAAATGGAGAGCGATAACGCCCACGTCCCTACGCAGGTCGCAATCAAGCGTGGTGTGGTTATGATATTGAGGGCGCCGAAAGGGTCTACCCGGATAGTGATGAATTGGTAACCGGTCACCAAAACGATGCTCAGAAGAGATACCACGGAAGATCCTACTGACAATATCACAAGGAGATTTTCCATCTGAAGGAACAAAATATTCAATGAAAATTTGTTACCAAAATTTGAAAAAAATATCGAAAAGAAAAAAAAAAAAAGGGAAAAGAAATGACTCGCAAAGTTCTGGGAGTTTCATAATTATTTTTGTTTGTCCGATCTCTTGTCTGAATAGCCAGTTATTAAAAGAGTGTTTAGCAGAGAATCTGTATGATTAGCTTGTTTCTAACTGTAATAATAATGATTGAAATTTTTTGAGAATACAGAGCTATAGGCCTACATACAATTTCCAACAATGACATGAGCACAAAGACGCATCAAATTATATGAAGCATAAAAATCCTCTGGGTCACCCTCATCAAAAAATATACAAATCAGAAATAACAAAACCGGTATAGACTGACACAAAATAGAGCAATATACTTGCACTGTCTCCTTGATTACGTATAATGCATGGGCCATGGTATAATAATGCATGACCCCTCGCACCCTCTGAATGAGCTTTTCAATTATAATCTGGAATACGCCTGTGCGCATCACGAATTCAACGTGCACGTTTCCGAAGATCCTTTATCCTCGTCTCCATTCATCTATTCAATTCCAAAGCAGAACGTGTTTGATTATTATATCCCGCATACTAAGAATCTTGCAATCTGATTGGTCTAAACGAGGTCACATGATTAATGATAGATAAGTACTATCTCCCTGCGATAGGACTTTTGTACAGTAATTTTTGCTGCTGCCTCACTTGCCCATTGAATAAGTGTAGCAAAGTAGGTTACGCGAAATGTCAATGTCAATCAAATGAGCACGCATCGACTGTAATACAATTATGTAGGAGTGTTGTGCTTTGTAAAATCTAGCTGAAGCTAAACTGTCTGCAGAATCAGTTCTTTTAATTATGTAAAATTCACTTTAAATAGACCTTATTGCCGATGTGGGATATATTAAAACAAATATTAACCTCCTTTACTCGGGCAATGGATACAAACTATAATCGTCTCGGTGATCTCGGCGATGATAGTTTGTACCATTAGTCGATTAATATTTGCTTACTATGCACCTACCATGTCAAATTATCAATATAAAATTAATGTCATATATATAAATTTCAAACATATGCCATGAATACATGTATCCAACTATCAATTACCGATTTAGCCAGTAACTATATGACATCAATAAAGTTAACAATAATAACGATGTCGGTAATAATAATTATACTAATGAATTATTATAGTGATCGATAATAATAATAATAATAATAATAATAATAATAATAATGTATGTATTTATTATGATTTTAAGATTTACTATGGAATAATCATATCAAATAACTTAGCTTCATATTTTATCAAAAATGGAAACTGATATTATCTCTATAACCACCCTATATACCGTAGCTTACTCATTTATTACCTCATTCATATGTATGTTTATCATAAGTATGTTTATCACTGTCCTGTAATATTTCATGTATATATTTGTATCGTATTACTCTGTAACCAGTGGAAACCAAATTTCCTGAAAAGGACAATAAACTATCATACCTTATACCTTATAGTGTCGAGGGTTTGCACAGTGAACATCATGTATATTTCCATCATTTTACATTACCTCGGTGTTTTATTCATTTTAAATTTCAAACAATTATTGAATATTTATATATAATGTTTTTTCGCGGCAGAAGCGGATCTAGAGGGGGTTGGGGGGGTTGCAACCCCCCCCCCCCCAAAAAAAAAAAAAATCCGGGGACCATTTTTTTAAATCTTATCTTTTTTTTAAAACTTGTAATTTTATTTTATTCTATTTCTATGTATTTATTTCATTTATTATTATTATTATTATTATTATTATTATTATTATTATTATTATTTCTTTTTTTTTTTTTTTGGGGGGGGGGGGGGGGGGGGTTGGACGAACAAATGTCACAGAGTCCCTTGCCCCCCCCCCCCCCATCAGCTTTTTTGAGGACACGGGCCACCGCCGAAGTGACAAGCTAGGCCAGCGTTGCCGATTCTCATCCCCAAAATCCCCACATTAAAAAAAAAAAAAATTGGGGGATTGTTGAAGTCTTTGGGGATGAAAAATAAATATTTGGGAATGAAAATAATATTGAGTTTTATGAAAAACGAATTTGGTTTAAACCCCCCCCCCCCCCCTTGGGCGGCCCAAAAAAAAACCAAAAAAAAAAAGAAAAAAAGAAAGAAAAAAGAACGCACGCTGGAGAGAAACCCTTTCAAGTGCAAATATTGTGAGAAGATATTCAACTCATCTGGTAACTTAACCAAACACATGATAACTCTGGATATAACTGTGTATTTAACTGTTACTTGATTTAAAAAGACGTTATCATGCACTGCTTTTTATGGTCTCCATTGTGTTAATAGATGCCAGGAAAACATCACTTACGGGGTTAAAATAAACACCCAAAAAAAAAATCGGCTCGCCGCTTCGCGGCTCGTGGACGATGCTCCGCATCGTCATTATTGGTCAACCCCCCCCTTAGCAAAAAGCTAGATCCGCCCCTGGGTAGAGGTTTACGGTACATCATGTGTAAAGTCCTAGAAGGACTAAGGAAAGTGGATAGAAAATAGAAGTGAAATAGAAAGGCGAGAAAGTGGAGGTTGGAAGGAAGAGTATCTTTCGGAAGTGAGTATAGTCCTGAAAAGGACTGTAAACCAGAAAGTTGTGGATAGGATGAGAGGTTTGAGTAGAAGACTGGATTGAGTTGGAGAGTTGAGCAGAGTTGCAGAGCAGGAGCAGGAGAGTAGACTCGACGTTTCGGACAGGTTGACTGTCCGTCCTCACTCCTGAAGACGGACAGTCAACCTGTCCGAAACGTCGAGTCTACTCTCCTGCTCCTGCTCTGCAACTCTACTCAACTCTCCAACTCAATCCAGTCTTCTACTCAAACCTCTCATCCTATCCACAACTTTCTGGTTTACAGTCCTTTTCAGGACTATACTCACTTCCGAAAGATACTCTTCCTTCCAACCTCCACTTTCTCGCCTTTCTATTTCACTTCTATTTTCTATCCACTTTCCTTAGTCCTTCTAGGACTTTACACATGGTGTACCGTAAACCTCTACCGCGATTATTCATACCACCATGCAAACCTTCAAACATCATATTTGTTTTTGTTTATATACGAAACTTTATTCAAAGCAGTAATTATTATTTTTAAATAACTGTTTATAAAGCCTACCTCTTCAGAACGTTCGCTGATCCCTTCGAAAATTGCAATTATGATCGCACCACATAAGTCAGAGAGCGCGAGGTTGTAGGGGAAGATGTGATGTTGCTTACGAAGTCGCCGATGACCAGGGATAACGATGAGCGTCGTGGTCATGATAAAAATAGCAACCCCCAATGTTACGTGTTTGATAACAGACAATACAGAGAAGCACAATGGGCTCCTTTCGTCGCCGACATCGACCGACATCAATGACGTCGTGGTGTTTATATCAATATCCGGGTTCATGCTTAACGATGATGGGGACACGCGATCAAAGAAAAAATAAAAGTAGTCAACTCAGCACCACGATCGGATGATGATTTGAGGATTTATTGAAGTGATGAAAACCTGCATGAAGTTGATTGGTATAGAGCAAACACCACTCGTTATCATGCGCGTGCTCTCTCAATAATTTCGCTGGGATTTTTACTAGAATTCTCATTGAAAGAGATGTCGACACAAATTCCCATGAATACAAATTTCCATTGACACATAATCCTATTGAAAGAGATCTTAATACACAATCTCAATAACTGGACAGGTATATTCATACAAATCAGGTTTATTTGTAAATCATGTTGTCCCCTATTACTATGGAAACCATGAGACCTCACGATATAATGCCACATTGTGTTGTTCTAGTTCTACCACCATCTCCATTCATCTAGCTATCTTAAAGGCCCACTGCACTACTGGTAGCTACTTGCGCCCTCTATATAACAAACAATGCCTAATCGGTGACCATTGGTCCCCCATGTTCCTCTTTTTCTTATGTTAACTGAGAGCTGAGTTGATGAGATAACCACCTGTCTAGTGACCTTGCAGAGCGGTCTAATCCCTCCTGTAAACTACGGTGACCACACGCAATATTAAAATAGAGCAATATTTTCGCCTAATAAAAAAATAAGAAGTGGCAGAACGCATAGGAAAGTGACTGGTGAGGGGTTACTCTTGTATGTTTGTGGTGCACGTGATGTGAGCATTTCATATCAGCAGTATATGTTTGAAGCCTGAAGTTTATGAACAACAACAAAATGTATGTGTACACAGGCGCGTACGCAGGGGGGGGGGGTTAACCCCCTTGTGTGTGTTTGCTAATGGGTGACCTAAAAAAGGGACACTTTTTAGGTCAGCCATTGGCACATTTTTTTTATTTTTTTATTTTTTAAAAATAAAATTAAAAAATATATATAATTTTATTTTTGGCCGGGGGGGGGGGGGGAGGCACGCCCCTATTTTTCAGTACATTTTGGGCGAATTTAGGGCTGATTTTAACATTATTTTTGGCCGGGGGGGGGGGGGGGCCTGTGCCCCCCCCCCCCCTGGATCCGCCACTGCAAACATAACATATACACTTGCTAATTGCACTTTTTTTAACACCAGGCACAAGGCCTTCACTAAATACTGAAATGGTATCAATTTATTATAAAATGAAAAGAAATATGACTTGCAAATTCTAGAGCGCCATATTTAAATGGAAGTACAGACTAGGCCTAATATTACAATATTATGATCGATTTCAGAATGGCAACCATCTCAAGCAGACTATCTATTATGAGCGAATGGAACCGGAATTTGAGGTGATTTTCTCGTCTTTTTTTCAATTTTGAAAGAATGCAATTTTTGTTAAAATTGATTCGATATAGATGATGAATGAATTCGTTTTGTTTTTCTGTCTTTACAGTGAAAATGATGGAGTGGCGTGGGTGAACTGCAGAACAGCAGGTGAGCGGTGTGCTACCTTATTTTACCCCCTACCTAGTCCGGGCACGATTCGGCCAGAAGCCCTTCAAATCCTACGGCCTTTGGTTAAACATTGGTTTCTGTGGCAGATATGCGTAATTTATTTATTTTTGGTGCAGAATCGATCTCATATGTCACTATTGCGCCATGCATGTCTCTTTATTTTGTGTGAAGTGCTGTTATTATCATGAAAAAACGCTTGCATATCACAGGATATGATTTCAGTCCCGAATGCTGGTTTTTGTGTAGGGCCTAGATAGAGGCTAACGATGTAACATGTGTAAATAATCATGACTCTTGACTTGAGTCTTGTGTAATCGTTAGAAATTGAATGTACACCCAACTTGAATGTACATCCTTGTAAATGAACTGAAGTGCATCCAATGAAATGCATCCTTTATGTTTACATTATGGATTAAAGAAATTCACACTCCGTAGACCTATTACTAGATCTAGACTAGACCTAGACTCTAGACCAAATTTTCTGTCTCTTTCATTCGTTAAGCGTCTTATTTGGGTAGGGTCAGCTCTCACTTAGAAAGAGAGAGCCGACCCTACCCAAATAAGAAAGAGAGCCGACCCTACCCAATAAGAGGCTTAAATAAGAGGCTTAACGAATGAAAGAGACAGAAAATTCGGTCTAGATCTAGACTAGATCTATTAAAATTTATAGTATTAGGGTCTATAATATTAAAACTAAAAGTGAAATCATTGAAAATATCTCAGGCTGAGTCGCGTCTATAAAAGAATCTTTACTTCTAAGGTTTAAGGGGAAAAAATACATTTTTAAAGTTATTGTTGGTTTGTTTGTTATATTTGTTTCTTTGTTTCCATGTGCAGGGCAGAAGGCAATAGAAGGTGAATTGAGGTCACATGGGGTCAATCACCTTGGGACTCCAGAGGTCACCGCATCAGAGGGGTTTACTGTGACCGATGTAACTAAGGTAGGGTAACGCTTTGATTCTGTATCAAGACTATTACCCCAGAAAAGCAATTATCTCCCCTTCCCCCCCCCCCCATACGCACACAAATACATTGGCTGCTTCTCACGAAACCGTCATAAGTACGAGTTCAGCAACATCCTATTGAAAAAACGCGTATTAAACTTAATACACGCATTCCAATGGGATGTCGCTATACTTGTACTTATGGCTGTTTCAGTCTTGATTTCTTGGATTCCCTGATATTGCTGGTGGAAAGCGTATTTCCACATTTATGGACAAGAATAAATTAATTAATTATATAATTATCAAATTTTCATCAATCCTCCCTGTTCATACATTTAAAGATAAACTTGAGTTCTGGAGAAGAAAAAAAAATGAATTCTTACAGAATCAAACGAAATTTACAATCAATGTTCAAGATTACAAATAAATGTCATTGTGCCAAACAATTTTGGAAGAAAATGTATACTGGCTGAGTATTAAGCATAGGAAAATAATGAAATCAAGGTAAGCTAGCCCCGACACCATTTGTGTAGTCCCATATACATCTTTCTGTGTACAGTGCCTGTTACTTTACCAAGACTGGGCCAAATTTATTGTGATTGTGATGACTCCAGAACCTTGCAGTGCACACCAATGCTTACATGCTACATGATCAAATTTTCTGATCCATTCCACACCTTTTCTTTCACAATGCAATCGTATTACCAGAACTCACCTTTATCTTTAAGTGTTGAGTATTAATTTATTAGTTTTCTTCTTTGCTAGCTGTTGTGGGAAATAGGAATCATATTTTGTTGGTATGTGTTGAGCTGCAAATATATTATTAATTTCTTATTTGTTGATTTTTTAATCCTTAACAGAGGAAAATCACCGTGACCTGTCCAGAGAAGAATGTATCAGCACAGTTTGTAGCACCCAGCACTGCACTAGAAACTGTCCATAGTAAGGCTGTGAGTATAAATTACAGAGCAATAATTGATATTGTTCTAAAAATTAGGGGCACTACCGGTATATTCATGGCACCATAGATATATGGTTTTGTTGGAAGCAATTGATTTCCTTCATTTTCTGATACCTGTATTTGAATATACCAGTAACAACAATGGTAGAACATGACCTTAGAAAAAAAGGTTGCTTGACACTCCTGCATTTTTGTGAATAACTTATTTATTTTATTTTATTGGAATAAGTATTCATTTTATATCAGTTTTATGTGTTGTGTGATAATTGGTAAATATATATAGTAAACCCAAACTGAATATTTTTGTTGTAATTCATCACAATGTAATGATGTTTGAGTATTGAAAGACAGTCTAAGGTTACAATAGTTACGAGAGTTGAGCTTGCTCAGTGAGAAAATGAAATGGCTCAGTGTTAGAGCAGTGGTCTTGTGAGGAGAGCACCCTGATTAAAACCTGATTTACCAGTGCCCTTTGATAAGGCATTAATTCTCATTACCAAGTCCTTCAGGGAGGATTTGAAGCTGTTGATCCCCTAGTTGCTTACTTGCAACGTCTTCTTAGCAGTCAGGTATTAAAATAAACCACTTAATAAACCAATTAACAAACTGTCAAAACTAAATACATGTTACAAATAATCAGAGTTAGTAGTTGACAGGGGTCATGATCGTCAATGTTCTGGAACAAACAAAACGCCTAGCAAGTAAGCAAATCTCAAACATTCTTTATTGTGTTTGTTTTGAATCGATAGATTAACAGTTTGGATATATCTGCCGGAGGGGCGCTAGGAGTGTCTGCCAGCTCTGATGGTCATCTAAGGATATGGGAGACAGCAACAGGAATCGTTAGGGTGAGTCAAAAGAGAAGTCCATTCTGAATTTTCCAATGTCACATTTACGTCCATCAACTGAAATTGGCAACTCCTAAAAGCGTAATGACCTGCATTTTCAGATATAGAAATGGTGATATATGTGGATGTTGATGAAGGAATAAATCCACATTATAGAGGGGGTGTCTAAAGCAGATGCTCTCAATTAGGTAATCTCATAGAAGGATTAAGGATGAGGATTTCAGATCAAGATATCAAAGGTCATTGGATAGCATGGATGAAAAAAAGAAGTTTGGGATTCTTTATTTTGGTACAGGTATTTTTTTTGCCTGTAAGATAATGCTATAACTTCAGAGTTGTGAAAATAAGAATGAAGTTGATTAACTCTTCAAGTATACTGTAAAATGAGATACCATTTGCATACACAAATCTTCTTTTGTGATATGTCTGAGTGGACTCTTTTCAGGAAAGTCTGATGTTGTAAAATGATTGAATTCCAACACTGAATTTCACTACCGTAGAAATGGCCATTGCTAACGATATGTGAAAGTTTACAGGTCTTGAGTTATCTATAATTACAGCAGCTATGAATTTTTAAAAACATTTTTGTATTTGACCATAGAGGGAGCTAGAGGGCCATGCGGGCGAAGCAGAGACATGTCAGTTCTTCCCGTCTGGGATGGTCGTCTTGAGCGGAGGACTGGACACTCAGCTGAAGGTATGGTCGGTAGAAGACGGGAGCTGTCCGGTAACGCTCACTGGTCACAAACGAGGTGGGTAGCTCCTTCATTATAAAATTGGCAACACAACATTTTTTTTTTCCAGTGATGACATTCTGGTAATAAAATTATGATGAACAAATGTTACCAACAACTTAGAACAAGATATAAAATATATCTTTAATGTGGAAAGGATTTTGTAAAGACCTTGAAAAATTAATGTTTGCTCCGCAAATTGGCAACAATAATTTTTTTTCTTCAGTGATGGCATTCTCGTAATAAGATGATGATCTAACTGAAATGATTACTTATAAAAAAAACATGTGAATGTCTCTTTGATATTCTGAGCTTCTTTTTTTTTTTTTACATGTAATGCTACGGTCACAAAGTTTCGTACAATCGATAATTTTGTACGAATCTCCCTGTTTTTCCATTGTCTTCCCTAATTTCCATTGTCTGAAAGTCGTTCATACGGCGTTCATATGATGATGTTATGATTTACAAAATCATTTTATTTCCCCTGAAATTTTTGACACCATGTTTTATTTCAAGTCCGTTTTTTTTTCCTTTCCAAAAAGCTTCCAAAACTGGGTATACCTTCTTGCTTTTCTTATTTTAGACAAATTATAGAATATGCAATGTCATTTTTTATTTCTTCAAAGACTAATTTTGTGCATTAATCCGACTCAAAAATTTTCTTTAACTGCATCCCCTCCAGGTATCCAAGACACTGCCGTCATAGACAAAGGAAGGAACGTCATCTCTTGTTCATTGGATGGGTCAGCAAGGTTATGGGACTGCGGTCAAGGAAAGTGCCTCGAGGTCATAGGTCAAGGGTCAGATGCAATCAATGGCTGCGCCGTGGCCCCGGTTTGCGACGGTGTAGATCTCGGCGCCTCGGGTAGCCCTTCGTGTGAGTAGTGATCTATACAGATCTTTTACAGTATGTTGTAACAGGGTCATTAAGGACTTTTAGATTTGCGTGGACTTATACGTGTGACGCCCATTCAAGGCAGTGCATTAAAAGGATGTCGACCGTAGCAATCCACGTTATCGTTGTGCAAATCTAAAAGTCCCTATTGCCAGTGTTTGGACATACATGGTGTTACTACCAAGCAGAGGACACTACAGAAATTTAAAGACCCTGTCGGAAGGGAAAAATGAAATAGATGAAATATATATCAACATGAAGCTTATAAGCCAAAGATTACAATAATATCAAATATGTGCTACTTTAAGTGTCTGTCAGATGGGTAAACAGCTCTCTGAAAACTCGAAATCTAAAGCTTTGAAAATCAGAAGTTGAAAAAAACTATACATCGACTTGATGACAATATCTTATGTGGAGTACGCATATTCAGAATGACTTTGCATTGATAAAGCACGGCTCATCGCCTCAGCCATATAGGCAAGCAAATTTGATCCTCAAGTTATGTTGTCACCTTAACGCGGCAAATTTGACCCCTGTTGACCCTTAATTTGGTGGGGGTGTGGTAAATGAGGTTCTAAATTGCTCTTGTGCAATACTGAAAGGGAATATATTTTTCACTCCTTTATATTTGTATTATACGTTCATTCAGCTTTCCGTTGAGGGTTTTGTTCCGACTTTTGTACATGTATAACCTTCAGGCCTGATAATTACCTGACTTAAATCAGTTTCCTGATTTTATTTTATTTTTCCTGATTTTTTTTTTTCTGTCCCCCGATTTTACCTCTATTTTCATTATTTTCCCTTATTTTCCCAAATTTTCTTACTCAAAAGGGGGGAATGCCGTTAGATGCCATTTTTTTTTCCTGAATCCTTTTTTTAATTTTACTCAAGGAGGGGTTGAGGAAAAAAGATAAAAAATATCACCTCTGAACTTTTTTTCTTTCATTGTAAAGAAAGGATTACATCATCATTTGTTTAGTCGTTGTACTTTGGTTTTGATCTTTTTAGCTGAACGAGAAGTAGGCACCGATGGCAAGCTGTTACTCTTAGCCAGAGAAGGAGGCAGTCTGGAAGGCTATGGGTTAAAAAGTAGACAAAAGGTCAGTTCAGAGGTCAAGGGTCATCTTGAAAGCTTTTGGAAATCATGTCAAAGTACTCCATCTGTTGATACTGCATTTTACCAGCATGAAAGTTCCATTTGTATTGGTAATACTCATGTTTGAAAGTTGAATTATTGATCTCATTGTAACAATATTTTACCTCTCAAGGCTGACTAAAAGCATTAGTTGAACAGCTGAAAATTTCAGATATGATCATTTTTGTATTGAGATCACAAGATTTCTTAAAGGCATCGTTTAACAATGTTAAATCTGAGATGCACGGCCCTTTGTGTTATCATTGTCTGTGACATGGTGTAATATTGAAGCCCTAAAAAAAATTGCGCTTCAAAATGACCAAGTAGTGCCTCAAAAAAGTAAAAATCTTTGAGTGACCGGTTTTACCATACTCATTTTGCCCAATAGACTGTAGTGTTATGAAAACCGTGATTTCGATTTCCAATCATAAATATCGTGATAATCAGACGGGCGATCTGCTTGTAAAAGTCATGGGGTTCCTGACTGACCTAAAGGTTTATAATTATCATTGCAGCATGAGCTAAATCCAGGATTTTGTTTCAGAATCTGAGACAAAGTTACCCAATCCCTTTAATTTTCAAATATGTGATGCAAAGTAGTTCACATCATCATAGATGCATCTGTATTGGATTGCTTGTAACCTGATGTAATATAGCTGGAGGAAAAAATACCCATATAATAAGGTAGCTTGGCTGAGGGAACCATTTTGAATAATCATTGCCATATCCAATCCTGGATTTTTTTTTTTCTCCAAAATTCATTCAACATCAAAATGTTCTGTAAGACTATTTTTCTATTTTCTGTTTTTTATATTTTGATGGATTCTTCATTAACAGAGCTCAGTTTGTCTGTAATAATTATAATAATAATAATGATGATGATGATGATAATAATAATAATAATAATATTGATAATAATAATGATGATAATAATAATAATAATAATGTTTATAGTACTACTAATACAAATTTTAATGATAATACAATAATAACAATATTGCAATGATAATAATAATAGAAATAATACAAATTTTAATGATAATACAAATAATAATAATGATAGCAATAATAATAATAATAATACTAATACAAATTGTGATAATAATAAAAATAATAATGATAATGAAGATGAGGATGATGATGATGATGATGATGATGATGATGATGATGATAATGATAATAATTAAAATGATAGTTCAATTCATTTATTGCAGCTATTATACAAATGAACTCTAGTTTTGAATGCATTCAAACTTCATCATATCTAACAGGTATTCAGTATGTCTGGCTCTTCCCCATTCAACTGTTGCACGTTCCTCTCATCACAAATCATGGCTGGAGGAGCAGACGATGGAAACATCTATCTTGTCGACATCAGGAACACAAGGTGAGTTTGAAATATCATTTAAACCAGAAACTTGTTTGAATTTCGCAAGTAGTCGAACTTTGCGAAAGTTTAATGCCACCAAAACTTTTGAGTATTGACATTCAATGTTGTGTGATTCACATCGTATTCTTTCTGCATATGTGGCTGTCCTAAGCATACCTGAGTTTGATTTTGCAAATGTTCTGTGTTATACAGTATCCGGGAAAGATAAAAAGCATTGTTCAAATATTATTTTGTGATTATTGTGGTAGGATAAGCTGATGTTGTTGTGTCTGTTTTTGCTGATACTTGTTGCCCTAACAAGAAGATGCACCAGGGAGTCTGACCATGACATGCGTGGGACAATCATTTAGGTTTTTGTGTTTCCTTTCTTATTTCCAATCTCTTATTATGATCTAATCATACAACTGCATGTTCTTTTCTCTAACTTGTATCTTATATTTGTGTATTATTGTCTTCTTTAAATAAACTTCCATTTTCCTCATATCCTGTGTCATGAGTAGTTGTTTATCTTTACTTATACGTCAGTGAAAATTTCAAAAATATACCTTTTTGTTAAATTATTCATTGCCAATATAACATAGCTGCCAACTATTCCTATTTGGGGGTGGGGGGGAATGATGCCTTTTCTTCAGCCTTCAAGATAAATGTTCTCAACCTTAGATTCCTATTTTCCACTTTAAAAAAAAAATTAATAGCAGGTATGATATAGTCAATATGTATTATGGTCTGATTACTTTCAGGCAATTTCTATTGAAATTCATTACCAGAACCTACAGTTATCTTTAAAAAGATAAAATAATCATTAATTTCTGTCTCTATACAGTGAACCTCAGTCTGTGATCCACCAATCGGCATCCCCTGTGAAATGCATGCTGGGATATCAAGATGGATTCATCACCGGCACAAGTAAGTTTGTTGTTAACATAAGTATTGATGGTATATGTTGCTATTAGTTATGCTTTGTGAATGCACGCGCATTGATACCCCTCATCAACAGACACCCGTAGCAGAATTTTACTGTTTCTCTACATTTGATTTGTAAGTCACCTCCAGGTAGTTGCCCGAAAGACAAAATTAATGATTGAACAGCCATTGTAAACATGAGGAGTGTTTCCTTTGGCCTTTATGAATATGTATGTGTGCCCTACCCTTTATGGGCGTGTCCCCCATATTACAGACTACAAGTAGTTGCCTGGAAGACCAAATTCATAAATGTTTCCACATAGGGAAAACAAAAAATATTATACTACCGGTAACTTCACAATACAGTAGACTTGGGTCCAATCAGTTTTGCCAAGGAATTTTTTGCTCAAATTTACTTTCTGTCGTTGTCAGACAATTTCCTGCAGTCGTGGATCTCTTGACTGTGATGTTGCACGGCACAAGATTTAACGGCCAGAGTGAATGCGTGGAGTATATGCTTTGGCCCTTTTGTCACAGTTATGTGTATGTACAGCTAACAACTAAATTATTCATACCTTTACCAAGTTTTTGTAATTTGTTTAAGTATGTGGAAAAATTGGTTTGTCCCAATTTTTGTTTCTTGAGAATGTGACGTATTAAAGCTTACGTCTAAAAGTATTCAACAAGACCCTAATTCAACAAGTCCACCTTTCATTCTTGAGTTACGAAAAACACAAACATGTTCAAAGGGTGATGTGACAATGTTTAGTTTAGTAAAGTTTATTTCTTTATTAAAAAATCACACTCGTCATCAGACGGCCGGCCTAAAAAGGCCTAAGAGTGATACATCAAACAATGACATAGTCATAAACAATTTAACATGGTAGCACTTATAAATATAATATAATCACACACACAGGAAAAGAAAAACAATGTGTTAGAATTTAGAATCTTTAAAGCAACGTTTTTTCTCTGTATATCACAGTAATAATGAGAACTCCAATTATTGAGCAACGGACATGTGTACCTACATGCATGTCCTTTGGCAATACATTTATCTACATTTGCCACACTCAACCCAGATGAGGTAAGTTGGTACCTGGTAGGAATTAATTCCTTGAAATGCTAGATTGCCATAATGGCAGCCATGCTAAAGCCGGAGTAATAGGTAGTTGTGGAGCACCAGGAGTGTCAAGTTTGACAGACGTAAGCGCTAAACAAAGAACCAACTATTTTTATTATTATTATTATTATTATTAAAGATGGCGGATACTAGCGTCCAGCACTACAGAAGACATAATAAGTTATTGTTTATATTGGATATCATATTGTGTACAGTACAGGAAATTCAGACTTGATTCCTTCCTTTTATCTACCTCAAGGCCATCTAATGTTACAAAACCATTTAAAATATATCTCAAGACTCCTAAGGTTATGCTGTACAAGGCCAGTAGGAAGTTGCCTCTTCTAGTAGCTGTCACGCGGCCAACCAATATCGCTTTTCTATCGTTTCAAAACTATAACATACCACTTAAACCCAAATCTGTGTGTCACGTACAGAAATGTTGGAAACAGTTTCATATGCTACTTTGTTTCTATCTTTTTGTGCCAACGTACTTTTTGAAGCTACAAGATGAGGAGGCGCTGTCATTAAAGCATATTATTAATTGATAAGGCCCCCCCCCTCCTTTCTAATACCTTTGAAATATTTTTATGTATTATTTGATAATAAGCAAGATACTGACAATTCTAAGCTACTGTGATTCTTTTTTCTTTTGTTTCTTTCTTTTCTCTTTAAGTAGAATATTTAAAAGATGAGAAGAAAAAAAGAATTTCCATCCTTATTCAGGATATTTGGTTCAGCTAGTCCACCTTTCAATCTGGAGCTACAAAAATAACAAAAATCATCAGTTGTTAACTGAAAGTGGAGCAATATGGGGACACATTCAACAAGCTTTATTTCAAAATTCTCTTCATTACCAGACCTAGATATTATTATCGTTAGTATCCTTCTTTTTCCTTAAAGAGAGCTTGAGAGAGCTTGAGGGTTTTGTTATTAGTGGAGACTATGTTGTCATGCATTAGAGTTTTTGTTTCCTTTAAATTTTACAGGTAACTGTACTTTATGTCTTTTCTTTCATATTTAAAAAAAAAAAAAAAATTAAAAGGTGGATTGCATAATTCTGAGAGAGAAACAAAATCATATATCCGCTTCTCAGAGATTCTGCTCTAGTTAGTAGAAATTTGCCACCAAGGTTGGATCTGCCTCGTAAGAGTAATTATTTCATCCCTATTTATTTATTTTGTTTGTTTTGTTTAGACTAGAAAGTAGATTGACCTCAAATTACAGCACATGGTCACGTAGTCTGAAGCAATAAATTTTCAAGGTCAATTTAATACATAGCATCCTTGTATCTATCCATTTCAACCAGGATTTGGACTGCTACATGATATTCTAAGAACAAAATTTGAAGTATCTGTGGATACTTTCAACATTTTCACAGAGAGAGAGAGACACTTGCTTAAGATTAGATTTTAAAGGGAATTTCAATTTTTTAATGTGAAAACTTTGTTTGATTATAAACTTTAAAATTTAGATTAACAGATTAAAGAGGATTCAATTCAAGGGAAACTTCATCTGGCAGTAAGTTGACTTAAAAAATGGGAAAAAACCAAGAGAAAAGATCAGTGAAATTTCTAGGAAAATTTCATGAAGGATAAAAAGGTTATGTTCAAAAATGGCAAAATGGCAACTCTACAATAATGCAAGCAGTGCTTCTTTTGTTTTTGTTAGAAGAGCCAATGGGAAGGGAAATCACAGAGGTTAATACCAATTTGTGTTCCATCAGTCAAAACTTCAAGGGTTCACAAACTTTATTAACCTTAATCAATCTGATTTTCATAAACCATCAACAACTTTTTAAATCAGGTTATACTGCTTTAAATGTCAATTTTTTTTTAAATCAGTGCAGACTTTCCCTTTAATTAAGTAACAGGTTTTGAAAGATGGAAATTTTGTTAGGCATGATCATTGTTTTGCGGTCAGTACTCAACAATAGGTTATGATGTACAAGGCCACTGAACTTAGTGTTTTCACACTTGAGTTTTAATTACATAGGGAAAATAAAAATATCCATTCAAGAAAGGCTCTTAAAAGAAAATAAACCAGATAAATTCTTGTTTGCATGTTGGTCACGATTTTGCATGCTAAAAATCGATTGCACACACGTTCATTGACAAACAAGGTTTGGAAGAAAAGGTTAGGTTCTTGTAAAAGTTGAAAAAGGAATTTTGTAAGCGTTCATAAAATGTTATCCCTGTAGGAACTATGGAGAAGTTTACAGTAGCAATGTCATATGAAAAATGCCCTTGAACTGCCCTCCTAAACAAATAAAGGCTCTGGTTCAAAGCTCAAAAGTCAGTTTATCAGATTGAGATATTAAAACATCTATAAATAAAAACACTTAAAACCTTCCAGAACTGACTTTTCATTTATCCATTATTAAATGTAGTTAGCTTTCTTCCAGATAGATTACAGTATTCCTGTTCATGTACGGTATATATTCTGCCTTTGTGGTTGTAATGTTTTTCTTCCCTTAAGGTACATTAATTCAGTTTGTCGTATTTGAAGAAGTAGTAATAACAATGAAGAAATAATGTTCACCATAACAAAAAGCATGTAAGATGGTAAAATATTTTTTTTTAATGAATTTTCAATCTGTAGACCTGTGTGTCCAGTTAAATGCTGCCCCCTTGTGGTCATGTTAGTACATTTTGATGTATCTGAGTACCAAGCATAGAAAAAAAGTTCAAAATGGCATAGTGTAGTTTGGCTGATTGCTCCCTAGGGAGTGGAGAATGTGTGCATATCGTGTGCAGGCAGGCCTGAATTTGATGACAAGGAGGCCCGATGGCTCAGTGGTAGAGCAGTGATATTGTATCCGTGAGGCCTGGGGTTCAAAATCATGTAGAATGGCTAATACCCTTTGATAATCCTCATTACCAAGTCCGCCAGAGAGGACTTAAAGCCGTATTTTTCTTGTTTTCTTACTTACAAGTAGCTTTCTTAACAATCAGGTAAAAAACAAAAAACAAAAAATACAATACATGTACATGTATTTCTGTGAAGCCCTGAGAGATTTTTTGAATGTACACTGCACTGTACATGTATTTTGCACAGTGTTATTGTTGATGTTCCAAGTATCATTCATATAATTATAGTTATTGTAGTTGCTGTTGTTTTCAACTAGCAAATCATTTCATTGCTGTCCAGTATACAGTTACTGGCTTGGAACCCTGTTGTATTACGTTTGCATCCGTCATCTAGCTGCTGATGTTTTCAAAGCTAATATGTCAAACTGTTTAGAACACAAGTTGATTTTCACCACACAAAAGTATATTAAAAAAGAGAAGAAAAGTAGGATTATGTAAAAATCTTATCAGACCAATTAAACAAGCTTTTTAACAAGAAACCTTAGATTTAATGCTCCATTTCGTTAATGAGCTCTACATTGTTCATGGATTTAGATTAACAAGGCCATGACCTAGATGTTAGTACAAACATTGGCTTCCCTTTTTTTCATTCCAGTTTCGTTTTCACCAACAAAATTAGATATTATCTGTCTACTCTATTTATAACTTAAAGGGAAAGTCCACCCCCAAAATAAGTTTGTTTCGATAGAGGCAGAATAATAAGAAAATCAGGTGAGTGAAAGTTTGAGCAAATTCTGAATGAAAATAAGAAAGTTATGAATTATTGAAGTTGTGATCAATCAAATACAAATTGGCAACTCTGTGACTTATTATACAAGCTCTCCTTCATTTGCTTTGTGCATAATATTCCATAAAATCATGTTTTCTTCGTTATTGATGACGGAATATATATTTGTTCATTGCAGGGGGAGTATAGAAACATATTTGCAATTATTATATTTAGGGTGCATGTATGGTTGAAATTTTTCTTGAGGGAAAATGAAAATTTTAGATTTTTTTAGTACTGAGCAAATGGAAGTTGAGCTCGCATGATACGTCATAGAGTTGCCAATTTGTGTTTGATTGATCACAACTTCAAAAATCCTAACTTCCTTATTTTTAATCGGAATTTGCTCAAACTTTCACTGACTTGTTTCTCTCATTTTTCTACTCCTATTAAAACTAACTTAATTTCAGGGTGGACTTCCCCTTTAACATTTACATGTACAGTATTTCATGAAGAAAGAGAATCATCTGGAGAGCATGTAATCACTCTATTCTAGATTGGCAGCTTTTAACAAGACACCTTTTATTTAATGCTCCATTTCGTTAATGAGCTCTACATTGTTCATGGATTTAGATTAACAAGGCCATGACCTAGATGTTAGTGCAAACATTGGCTTCCTTTTTTTTTTCCATTCAAGTTTCATTTTCACCAACAGAATTAGACATTACCAGTATTTGTCTATTTATTACTTAACATTAACATGTACAGTATCTCATGAAGCAACATAATCAGCTGAAGAGCTTGATACATTTATAAGCGCTCTATTCTAGATTGGCAGTACATTGTTCTTCCTTTGCTGGATAAATGTTATTGTTTTATTTCCTACAATTTTATGAAATGATATTCAAGAATATATATCTCTCTGTAATTATGGTTTGATGTTTAAAGTGGAACCTTAATAGAAATAATGCTCAAGGGAGAATACATAGGTTATCTTTCAGCTGAGGTTCCCTTAGTACAGGTTTCAGTAGAGAGAAAAAATGTCAAGAAACAACAAAAAATGTGGTCTTTAAAAACAATGGTCTTTCTGTACAGGTGGCCACTATTAAAAGCAGGTTTCACTGTACATGTAACCCTATGTTCTAGATACCACTTACAACTGCATTACTTTGTAAATATTTCATTATGTCATTATTTTGAAAGCTTTACAATGCATCATAGATATTTTCCCTACATGCACAGAAACCTCTTTCCAATGTCCTTCAAACCTTTCTCTTTCCCCTTCATAGAAAAACAACATTTTGTGGTGATTTTAGAAAAGGAACTAGAGCAAGAGAGTCCTTTGTATGTCAGACCTTGGCAAACCCAGTTCAGACGTTTCAAAAAGCATGAGCTTTCTCTGAAAATAAGGCCACTGAAGTCGTGACTGTCGATAAAGGCACTTGATATGACAAAATGTACTTAAAAATCAATTTTTAGAAAGTGTTCAAAACACAAGGTCGTGACATTTAAGTGAAGTACTTGTTATAAGATACTTCAATGGGGATGACTTTTCTTCTCCTTCCTCTCGATTTTGTTTGTTTGTAGTGCTGTAAAATAATGGGATAAAATGTGAAGAATCTTTCAAAGGGGAAGCTGAAGTTTTTTTAATATGTAATGGCAAATGCTTTTCTTCTTTGTTGACAGTCAGCCTTTTCACACACAGCTAAAATTCTATCAACATGATTAGTATAAACGTGTTTGAAACGTGTTTAAACTAATCACGAGCCTTTCACACACAGAAATTTCGTTGCGATCGTTAATAGTTTCGTGATTAACTACTGCTCGTAAAATGCGCAGTAGTGCCATTGCGCATTGAAGGTAATGTCATGTCAATCAAAGCGCACGCTCCATCCAGTTTAAACACGTTTAAACACGAATTTCCTTTCACACACAAAATGTCAAGCTCTCTAGATACGAACTTCGTATCTGCAGCCTGCTTTTAGGGGCGTATGGATCGCGACTTCGTATCTATCCCAACATCGTATAAACGATGTTCACACTGGGAAATTTTGTCTATAAACATGTTTAAAACTGTTGAGTGATTCTAATCATCTCTAGATACGATGAATTTTAGCTGTGTGTGAAAAGGCTGATATTTCAACAAAACTTTTATTTGCAAAGGCCACTATTTCATTTTTGTTGGAGACTTTTTGATGGTATTTCAAGTGCGGTACACTTGTATTTCATATCATGCCTAAGTGAAATATTATACAGTGAAACCTGTCTATAAGGACCACCCACGGGAGACAAGAAAAGCAGTCTTTATAGGCATGTGGTCTTTATGTACAGGTTCCTTTTATAGTACATGTTTCAATGAAAATCCATGTCCAAGGGAAACAAAAAATATGGTCTTTGTAGACAGGTGGTCACTAAAGCAGGTTTGACTGTAGTTGAATTTACATGTAGTATGATAACAGGAGATTAAACATGTGCATGAAGGAGCAATAGCATTAATACTTCCAATGTGGTGAAGGTTTACGTATGAGGATAGTTGAGGTATGTGTAGTTGTACCAGGACTGGTAGGATTAAATGAATACAGGCCTGGTTACCGCTAATGATAGCAGTAGTAATGGTTGTAGAAGT